AGCTTGAGGATATCGAAGGGCTCATTCCTCTCTGCCGATCAATACTTTGATAGATTATTCCGGAGCTAATGGATTAGGCAGGCGGATTTTCTTTTTCAACGATTTGTAATCTCAAGAAAAGGGCAAGTGGCTTTGATAGGTGCTGCAAAAGAAAGACGTCTTCCAAGAATGAAGTGGAGCTCCTCTGAAATCGTATTAGGACGCCTGGACCTGGACCGAAGTCTATCCCTGGTAGGGGCTTTGTGCGGGTTGCTACCAGAATGGTAAAGAAAAGAAAGGGAGACTCGAATAGGATATCTGTAGGGATCGGCTCTGCAACCTAATAGAGGGAAGCAACACAGTTAGGAACATGGGGAAAAGGCCCTTGTGTGTGAAGAAGGCAGGAGAAAAGAATAAAGCTTTTGGTATAAAATACGCAGTGGAACAAACTTTCACTTTGAAATCCTCGTAAATTCGACAAAAATCTGAAGCTCCTTCTTTCAAGAACAAAGTATCGGTTTTCCTTATTCCACTGGTACGAAAAAAGTACAGGTTCGACGGAAATGATTGCTTTTACGACAAGCTTCCGGTACTTGCCATCGGAAGGTTTTCAAAAGAACAAACATCCCTACAAAATCTAGTACATTCCAAATATTGGTGCATCAACCCAATTTTAAGATTTGGGGACTATGAGGGTTATGGCTACCACAGAGACTTTTTCTACAAGGATTCACTTCAAGGCCCACTCAGAAGTGGTTTGTCAGAATACAGAAACAATGGGGGCATCATTTCTGGTCGTCCAATCTGCACATACTTACAAATTCAAAAACTGTGGCTTTCCCTGTAGAATACAGTAGCGTTATCAAGCCATGATGAATGGAGGATGAAGTCTTCCGAAAGTTATCGATCCATTTTATGGAATGCGCCCAGCCTTCGGCTTCCGTTCAGAACCGTGGTTGCAGTCCGAATGAGTGTGTAACCTATACAATTATTTGGGGTGGCCGACCGATGTGCAAGTCAATGCTTTTATCCTCCCAGATATGCCTGACCTAATTAATCGGTCTCAGTGGGAGAAAAGGTTTGCTTGGTCTCGGCGGGCATTAATCCTGAACCCAATTCCTAGACCATGCATGTAATAGTGTGCTCCGCTTACCACCATTCCACGTCTGCTCCGAACTATCGGTGACGGAACATCTTCCCGATTTCGCACGTCAGCTTTACCGCATGCGGCAAATTTTTTTAGTTGTCTCGCTGCTTCAAGCTGCAATTACCGTATTCAGCCCGCCTCCACCAACACAATCGGAAAAGGAACCTTTTTTCGTTGACTGCCTTGCTTTTTTGATTGGTCTTTTAACAAAACAGTAGCTAATGGAATAATTAAAGGTGTCCCTGACGCACAGATTGCGCGCTCCTATCGCCAGTCGCATTCCAGCGATACGCGGCGGCTGCGGCAAGCGCGACACGATTTTCGGGGAGAAGATACCACTCCCCTGAATCATGCCTTATTCAGAGAAATTTTCAAGATGCCTGTTTTGATTGATGACTGCCGTAATGCTCGCCACTTTAAAAAGCGGCACTCACTTCTTTTATTCAAGCCTCTACAGCAAACTTTGTTATTGCTATTAGGCATTCCACTTACAGTCATCTAGTTGTTTCGGAAAAGTCATGGAAATCAAACAGGAGAAGGACCTTCTTTATATAAGGAAAGCTTTTCAGTGATTCACCCACTATCTCTAGTTTTGTAATCACTAGGAACGAGAAAAAACGAAGGCATTTTCCTGCGTGAATGCAATTCCTTTTGAGTAGATTAGTGACTAAGCAGTAATAGGGAACTTATTATTAGTAATTACTTGTACTACGTACATTAAGCGAACAAGTTCCGATTATAACCGAGGGCATCGAACGAGACCTACACAAGAATGCTTGAGATAAGAATAAAAGGAGTGTAAGGATTGATTGAATTTCGAATACGCCTAAGAAAATTAGCGTAAGCCTCGAGTCTACGCTTAAAAATTCATTGCAATACAGTTGCATATATCCTCTTGGTGGGACCCTCAACTCACCTGAATTTCAGCTTCTTTGTGACCGAAACCTATTGTTTCTTGAATTTTTGTTAGACTTTGGGCCATGAATCAGTGTTCTGCCGAAAAGTGATGAATGCCATGCTCAGTATTTCCAACACTTCCCACTTTCCCTTGTTTCGATATTTTTATTACTTACATATTCTTACTTAATGGGCAGAGGGGTGAAGTTTCAAGGGGTGTGGTGCAGTAGGATCAAAATGGTCGCGCCGCGATGAGGAGGACGTCGCACGCGGAGGAGTGTAGCAGAATGCAGCAGCAGGTAGGAAATACAGGAACAAAAGAACTAACAGAGAATCACGCCAAAAGTAATAATCGCATACCGATTGAGCTGTATGAAGAACTGTAAAGCTGTAGTGACGGCTCAGCGAATGGTTCGCGATAGCCGCGTTCGGCGAATCAATTACACAAAACCGATCTTACTGCCCGTCTCCCAGTAGCGAAGTAGGATTCAATAGTGTGAGGGATGAGAGCTGGGAAAGCATAGGTACGAGTCGGATCCCTACCTAGGTTAAGGATATCCCTAATAGCCACAACCTTGGGATGACTTTTGCGTTAAAGAATACAAAATAACAACAAACAAAGTACATAAGGTAATTTCTGCTCCCTTTTTACATTATTCCATATTTTATTATTTTATTTTATTATTTTTTTATCTTATTTTTTTCTCACTAATTTAAACGATGGCCGTTCTGAAAACAAATTTCAATCATTTCAGTAATCCATTCAAACAAATTATGCGATTACTCTAATACCATTTGTCGTAAATATCAGCCAAACAACCACTTCATTTTTCTTCAGAAATGACTTTTTCGGAAGGGATTTGCAATTCTGCCACTTCAGCTTTGATTACAATGGAAGTTTCCAATTTTTCTAGAATTTACCTAATTAATTTTCCTTCTTGTCCTTGACTCCACCAGGGAACCAGTGAAGAGAGAGCCAAGAAAAGGGACCAAACTGCTTTTTTGAATATTGACTTGGAGGCTCGGAACGGCTAGCAGGTGAACGCCGAAATGGTAACAGTCAGAGTTCAGTTTATCTGATATAAAGTTGGAATTGTGATCCAACAAAAAATCTCAGCACCTAGTTTACTGAGTGATCCTATTATACTGCTCCCCTCGACGCTGGACAAAAGAAAAAGGCGCACAGGCTGGTTAGTCACTTCGAGTCGTCACCGTCAAAGGTACGAATTCTCACATCTACTCATCCCAAGACGCAAGACCGCAAGACTCAGGACATCCCCCCAAGATGTCCTGAGTCTTGCGGTCTTGCGGGGGAGGAGAGGGGACGAAGAGGGCGGATGTATACGGCGACCGCAGCAGATGTTCAACCATTTACGGCTCTAAGTACGGACTTCGAGAAAGCGAAATGAATAAGAAGCCTTTTCCAGTGGAGAAGGACCCTATTAAAATGACCGCGCAGTGACCTCTATGGCACTGAGTGTTTATCACGGTGAAATCTAAGCCTCTGTTTGGAAGGAAGGTACTATAGAAGGGTGGGAAGGCTTTCGGGGACCCTTAGCAAGCCGAGAAAGTGTCGAAGTACTTTTTGAAAGGACATTTAGTAAATTGAATGAGAGGAAATACAAAAGAATTCTACTAAGAAAAGAAAAAATTACTCAAAATAATTTACAATATTCGTGAAATGCACGTCAATTGTCTATTTATTAGCCACAATACACCTGGGAGTTCTAGTAATATCAGCAAATGAACAATTAATGGAATTCAAAAGACATTAAAATGTGACCTTTCTTCAGTCACTGGTACATATGTACTATTTAGATAAGATCAGAGATCACAAAGACTTTCAAATACATATTGGGATGCCCGAAGCTGGCGCANCCCATGAGGGATTGCCAAATTCCTGGACCATAGGTACATCGTCAGCTCCTCCACCTAGGCTTCTGATAACTGATGCCCGCCAGTTGGTTCTCAGATTTTATGGAAGTCTTTAACAGAGGATTGAAAATGATGGGTTGATGTGGCTTGGATTTTAGGAAGGTTTTATAGAAGCCGGACATCCCTCAGCCCATTACTTATTTACAAATTCAACCCATCTGAATGGCGAGGGATAGAGTCGCATTCGTGGCGCACTTCAGTGAGGCTAGCCGAATCTTTATCATTTTTTTGCCCTTTTCATCCGAGGCCTCTACGGAATTAATATTTTCTTCTGAATAATGGGATGTGGGCAGCGATGTGCACTCAAATCAACATCGTCAAATTTTATGAGGGCTGGGGGCTTACAAAAAGTCAAAAGTTCACGCCCACCATAAGTTAGATGGTTGAGTTTTTCATGGGCATGGGTCATGAGGGAGGGAAGCAAAAGCAAGAGGGCAATGTCTTCACAAGAGTATCGAGAAACGAGAGCTTGATTTGGCACGAATTATTTCAGGAGGGAGCTTTTTTTTTTGACAAAGGGATGCTTCTTTGAACGAGTTTCATCGAAAAACGATTGCTCTTTTAATTTGCGGAAATTCGTTTCCGGAACCCTATCTCTTCTGCTTATTCATTAGGCATTAGTCAATCCTAAAAATTTGTTTTTTTTAAAATAATTACTCTCATGTATCTTTATTTCCGGAACATATCACCATTACTACGTGGATTTAAATGAAAGACAGTTGAGTGCGAGAACAGGGGCTTGCTCGATCCACAAAAGGTTTTATTTGATAAAGTCGAAACCTGGTGATCCAATGCTGATTGGGCCGGTGCAGTAACCGAAGGGAAGAGACGCGGAGTTCAGAAGCGACCCTGCATCTCTGCCTCTAACCACCAGAATTTTCGTTGTACCTATTTTGATTAGGAGTTTTCCCGTTTGCTCGGCCAAGTAGATGACCAAATTCGCTTGAGGCATGTAAAAATAAACCCATATTGTCCAATGAGATACCAGTTGTTCATAAGTGAATGCCTTGGTAGCCAGTAATGGGCAGCTGGTACTTCAGATATGGTTAGTGAAGTGAGAACTTTTTTGTTTACTTCAAACAAAATATTTAATCATTTAGGTAATTGGTCTGGAAGGCATACCGGTGTATACGCATTTCTTTCTACATGACAGTCATTGGGCATTTGGAGCATTTCTATGCGACCTATGGTTGTCTGTGGATTACATCGTTTGTCTCGCTTCCATTTATACGGTGCTTGGTATCACCGTAGATAGGTGAGGATTTCCTGTATATTATTCTCATTCTTGCAGAAAGCCCTTCTGGCGAAATAGCGTCTTTAAAAAAAAAGTCATTATAGAAAATCATCTAGATCCTGGTAGTGTTGTGTCAGGAGGTACGGAAATCGAACCCAGGATCGATACCTGCCCAGTTAGCTAAGGAATGGAGGTAAAGTACCAGAATCCCTACCGTCAAGGCACCGGAAGCGGCAGTGGTATGCGCGCTAATTACCGTAGCCGCTCACTGAAAATCAAAACTTACCCTTCCCAACCCGTTGCTGCGCCCGATCGGCTGCTACTTGCGCATTCCGCCGTTCAGTTACATACAGTAGCGCTCAAAAGTCTTCGGTGAAATGGTTCTTCAGCCGTACTTTTCGTAAGTCGTAACTCCTTTCCTACTGGACCTAATCATGTGAAATTTCTATATTCGGAGCGTGGGTGTATTGTAAATATTTGCCACTATTAACCTGCAATTTGATCATGTTCCAGATATTCTAAGAGCAAGAACATGAAATCAACCGAAAATACAGATGATGGCCCTTCTAGAATCTGTTTCCTTTTTGTCATGTCTGAAGTGTACGTGCGGTAATGCCGAACACAATAGATGAGAAAAACGCTCATTAGGTGCGATTATGTGCAGACGTCAAAAACTTTAGTTTCAGCAAAATCTGCTACCGCAACATACACCTTGCTTTATCTGTGGATGTTGCAGCTTCGCAGTCGAATAGTGTTGGGTAGGGTGAAATATGCTCTAGTTAAACATATCCAAAATTTGCACGATTTGGTCTACTAACAAAAAAGTTACGAAAGAAAGAGCGTCAAAGCATTTCACCGAAGACTTTTGAGCGCTACTGTAATGCCACAGCTCCAACCGAGCCATCCATAGCTCCGGCGTCTATTATTTGGTACCAGACTCATCCGGGAAGTTGAAAGCGCTAACCTGTACCATCAGCTGGCCACTGCAGGTCGTTGTATAGGTCACCTTCGCAATCAAGACGCCTACAACACTTAACAGAAGACAAATGCGAGGCGCGTCCTAAAGCGGGACTTAGAGCGCTAGAAAATTACGGTTTTAATTACCCGCGACAGTTGCCCGCTGTACAGATTAATGCTTTTTATCCTCTAAAATGAGTCTCGCACCGACTCTTTCAACAACTACGAGCGATGGAAGACTTGGTTGGCAGAGGTGCCAAGCCGAGTCTCGACCCTGTGAGTATGCGCCTGTCAAAGCCACACTTGGCATTACACTACCTCCGGAGTTGTCAAAAGAAGTACATAGGAACTGGGGGGGTTCATTTCCCTGATCGATCTTCTTTATTGTCTAGAAATAGCACATCCGAGGAAAATCGGTCCCAATAAAAAAGAAAAGTGGCATAGTCGTCCATAGTTGTGCGTCTGACATTATAAGCATACTTAAGTAAAGAAGTTCAAATTTATGCACAGCTATGGCGGTTTGTATGGCAAGCTTCGCTGTCTCCTTCAAAAAAAGCTACAATTATCGTCCATGAAGGCTCCCTAGTCATAGAAAGCATTCACCGATTGACTTCGACCTGTCATTAAGGTGCACTCTGCAATAGGACTGCCATAGCATTTCCTGAAACCACGCTGAAAAGTATGAACTTAGTTCTTGGACCTGGGTGTATTATACCGACTCTGGGAAATCATAATCTGCAAAACTCATTGTCTACTTGCCCTTAAAGTGCCATCTCAAAATTGAAGAAAAAAATCAGAACATAATAGCAAGAATAGAAAGGTTAGCTGGGACAAATGAAAGGCATTCAATTTAATAAGGCTTAATATTATTATAATAGATGGTATATAAATGAATTTATCTCGTTGTGACTGTATTACGCTCTACGATTGAAAAAAAANAAAAAAAATTTGTAAAAGACAAAAAGAGGTTATTACAATTAGTCAAATTTTTCTTAATGAGCCGGGATCATTGAGCCACTGGGAGTACGCTCGCACTTATGAAAATTTATTTTATTTCTAAAAGAATGGTTAGTGCACGGTGCCTCCCGTGAATACTGATGGAAAAAAATTTTTCCGAGTTATTATCTTACCTACTAGGTTGATTTTTTTCAGGTATTGTTCCGTAAAGCATCCAGCCACGTATCGTAATTGGCGGACACCGCGACGGGTTATGTTGATCATTGCCGTTATATGGATTGTGAGTTTTATTTTGAATTATCACTTTGGATTATCAGCTGGTATCAACTTATCGGTAACTTCTTGAGTCACTTGATAATCGAGAATTTCTCTTTGAAACAAATCCAAGTCCCGGTCCATCGCTTCAGAAATGACACTTTTCCCATCAATGGCAGTGGGTTAGTAGGTCTACATAGGTTACTAGTTGAAGAGGGTTTCAATAATTAGTCGTTCTGGATTCTTCGTTACCGTAATGATTGGGCCAAAAACTACCGATCGATGTGACTGTTTTAGGAAAATTGTTTATTTTCAGGTTCCAAGCATATTATTTTCGCTATCAATATTCGGGTATGGAACGTTTACGGGTGAGTCTATTTTCCAGCTAATTCGTTCGCTCTTGCTGCGCACCTGCTGGAAATTCAGGTGCTAATCTGGGTTTCCAACTTCTTTGTGACTTGTCGTTTGACTGAACATAGCGTAGGCCACGACGGGGTGCATTAAAACGAGGGTTTTCCTAACATACGTGGAGGCGAAGGTAGGGTTGTTCGAAGGGCACATCTCGAAATCCGCTCCTCTGGGGCCTATTGAACGCTGTCGGATTTGTTGTTTTGTCGTGAAAAAGAAAAGCTCGGGCATGTTTGTTGTATGGCTTCGGTAAAGCATTGAATGGGTTAAGTATGGGATCGAAAGCCCTCCTGTTCTGAATGACAGCCGAAGGTGTGGGAGCATCTCAGACAGGGTCGATCAATGCCAAACGTTTTTTATGTTTATAAGGAAATGAGGAGCGGCCGGTGCCATTCGGTTCACCGTCAAAAACCGCCATCTAGCTGATGATATATTTGTCACCGGCCAGTGATGGACATACCATCAAGAAAATGATCCTTTTTTCAGGCCTGTTTCCCAACTTTACTCAGTTGACGATCATTAAAAGGATGAGATTGCTCTTTCTAAAAATTGCTTTTAGACATCAAATTTCGCCAAGGGATCGTGATCCCATAGCTAAGTGTCCCAAATCCCATGTGGGGATCTACATCCATTAGACGCACTGCTTACAGTATCCTATCTCTCTACTGCTCACCCTTTCGATATCTATGGGGTAATCCACCCACGAGCCGAAGACATGCCGAAAAGCCTGTCGCACCTTAGTAAGGTGAGGGCAGTATCTAGATTATAAATGTTGGATGTCGGAGAGGACGATGATCCAGTTCGAAGTAGTATTCGGTTGTTCCATATTGGTAGTCCCGGGAGCATGAGCCCTAGAAAATGCAAAGGTTTGGGTGTGGTGCAGTAGGGTCGAAAGTGTCGCGACGCGGCAAGTTGGACGCCGCGCGCGGAGGAATGTAGCACAATGCAGCAGCACGTAAAAAATACAGGAACAAAAGAAATGACAGTAGAATCATGCCCAAAATATTGACCGCATATTGATTGAGTGTATGAAGAAGGCTAGAGCTGTACTAACGGCGAAGCGAATGGTCCGCAACAGCCGCGTGCGGCGAATCGATTGCACAAGACCAGTCCTACTGCCCGTTTCTTAGAAGCTGGTCTAGAGGAATTTCAGCTACCACTGATTGGAACGTGTAAAAAAATGCAACTGAGTTATGATTTCACCTGCGGGTTCAACCGAAATGTGGTTGTTCACTTGCTATACGGTCCTGTTGCTCCTACATCGAATAGAGAAACATGTAGTGCTGTAATGCAAATCCCCAACCACTCATCCATTTCCTGCTCTGGGGCCTGAGGAGCTAGCTGTTCGTCGGCGTTGGGACCCCGATTAAATACTCTCAAGCAATTCATAACATTTTTGCGGAAACAACAGCGGCATTGCAGTTCGTGCTGAGGCCATCACTCTTCGCTTCTTATCCTGCCCTCTTCCCAGTTCCCGCGGGAGAATCAACCCGACGGACGATGCCAAGCTGTTTCATCCGTTGGCTTCACGATGATGCCAACACACTCATCACAAAAGATCTGAATTCCACAGAAAACCCAAAGCATAGGGGTCGAGCACTTGATGGCAATCAAACACTGTAGAATAGGATGTGCCAACCATTCTGCCCCATTCAGAACCGCGGAAGCCTCTAGAAGTAGCGTGATAATTGGCGTGCGCGCCCTTTTGAAGTACTGTTGTCTCGGCTGAAACTAGCTGCCTCCAACGACATTCCAACTGACCGATTCCAGTAAGATTTAGAAATGCTGGATAATTTGTTTATCTGCGTTCAAATAAATAAATAAATAAAATTCCTCATTCTGAAGTGAGTTCCAGTTCCTTATGGGTCAGATTATGTGTTTTCCTGAAGTTTCGCCTCCCGAAGCACTCGTTTTTTTTCTATTTGATAGAGAAGTAGCCAGGCCCATTTCCACATTTTAGAGTCCCTCTGGTAGGAATGGGGTTTTGAGTTTGCAATGAAGAAGCACTCAAAACGATGATGCTCATCTTCAGACCAAGCATGTTCCCAAACTCCCTGCTGTGAAAGACACCTGAAATGGGGGAGTGACCGCCCTTGGACTAACTCCGTCTTCGATCACTGAATGACCTTCACGGTGTATCCTTCTTTCTACAGCTGAACTAATCCTAGCAGTCTGAGAAACTATTTTTCAGAGTAAGAATTACTGGTACACTTCTCCTAAATATCAGAATCGGGAAGTTGAAGCGTTCAAATTTTCATGCGGAACATTGAATTCAAAAAAAAACACTACAGCTGAGTTACCAGCACCCATAATGCTTACAGGCTGCTGAGAAATATTTGATCGGACGTAACCAATTGAGAGTAGGGATGTTTCATTGAAGCTAGGTAGGATTGCGAAAGCCACATCTCTTGCTTTTGCTCGAGATCGCTTTATGAAGAATAGTTTTTGATGATACGAGAACAGCTCAATTGCTAGCCTTGTGGAGAAGAAGGAAGAGATCGCAGATCTCCACCAGTGTTCATCATATATGCAATTTTTTGAAATTCAAAGGAATACTCAGTTTGAGTGCCTAAGTAATCCGGTTCTAAATATTACAGGATTATCCAAAGAACATTCCAAGAATGCCCTTTACATTGATGCGTATTTGATGTATGTCTTGCACTGTGGAATCCAAATAATTCTGACCCTGAGGGACTTGACGTTGGTCTGGGCCAGAAGGCAATTCGAAATTGTTTTATTTGTTTTGTTCTTTCAAGACTGCCACCGTCAAAGTAGTTTTTCAGACGGGATTAGCGCCTTAGGAAGCCTGAATGAGGTCAGGAAAGGGAAAATAATGATCGGCAACCTGCACTGGAATTTCAACTTCTTGAAGTTTCCTAATACAGTAACCACTGGGAATGAGATGACTTGATAGAGTTCGGGCAGCAAACTTTATTGGATTATCTTCAGGCTGCGAAAAACTATTTTTGAAAGCGTTGCCTCTTCGAAAGCCTCCATGCCATTGAACTTGTGACCCAGAAATTCTATTAAAATAAAAGGGGTCATAAGGAAAGGCAGAACGACCGCTACGTCTTATCCTAAGCGGTGACAGGATTCGGAGCCTCGTCAGCCTGGAGCAGTGATAGAGAGGGTGGGATGAAGTTAGTTTTTATTTATTTATTAAGACATGTGCAACACACATGTGAGTAACACCAGTTCTAGTTCTTTATTCCGCCCTTATCGGTCCTCCTTAGCCGAACTAGTCTGCTTTCGTTACAATGCCAGATCGGTAGTAGCCGGCCTCCTGAGGTTAAGTAACGCTGGCCCGATGCCATACCAAATTGTAGTGCGGGTCAATTTTCGTCTCCATATAACTCTGTATGGGGGGAGGCAGACACTTTGGGATGCTTTTTTGGAAGGAAATTGGTTCAGGAACGGCAACTTCGTTCGTCTATCCCTTACATGAACCACGTGACGAAGGCAGTATGTAATTGAATTTTGACAAATCCATCGAGACCTTGCTTTTGCGGAAGCCTACGTACGACGTCCTAGTCATTTATAATCTAAGTCACGGGCATAGGCAGAGATGTCGGAAGTCGTTGTCTCTGAAAAATGACTTCAAGGAAAACTCGATAGTACTCCCTACTTCTCTGCTCATATGCTCTTTACTGAAGCTGAAAGCGTCCGATAGCATAGCAGAGGCAGCTTTCAAGAACAACCGAGGGGAAGGAGAGATAGGAAGCCCGATTTCTAACAAGAACTGCACCGCATGTAGATAGGGCAGCGGTGTTATTTGACCGTCCACTTCCGATTTATCCTAGTCAAAAGCCCAATGCTAATCTGTCGATGAAAAATAGACGCCAGTAGGCCATCCAAAAAACAGATTAGTTCGATAGGTGGAAGACCAGCGTTGTGCTCAATTCTTCAAAGTCTCTTTCTGGATCACCTATCGAAGGACAGGGACAGCTGCTTCATAAAAAGGGACAGTTTGAAAAAATACAAATAAAAAATACTAAACAGACGAAACACTTTCGAAATACCCAAGGGCAGACACTACAAGTGGCCAAGTGGTTCGGAATTTTGTTTTTTCAGTGAAATACCACAATCTCAAGAAGACATCAACACACCCTTTCTCCTTTAAGTTTTCAATAGTTTTTTCCAATCTTTGAAAATTGCACAGTCAACTAACACAAGCAACAGATACCCCAGAATGGAAAAAAGTCACAGGTGTTCACGATTCCTGGATTTTCTAGAAGGAGTCTTTGCTAAAACGCTGCTTTAATCGACTTCTACGTGATCGCTGAAGGGAAGGTTCAGTGGGTTGTAAAGGAGAAAGGATGGTTAAGAGGAAGATTTCCTTTTACATAACCCGACTAACAAATCTACTAGTACGAGTTGTGTAAGTACAGTAGCGCTCGAAAGTATTCGGCCAAACGCTTTTCGTTCATAACTTTTTCCTCAGCGGAGCAAATTGCTCAAAGTTTGGTTAAGTTTAACTGAGGCATATTTCACGTTATCCAACACTACCTGACTGCGAAGCAACCATTTCCACAACTAGAGCAAGGCGTTTGTTGCAGTAGCAGATTTGGCTAAAAGCAAAGTTATTGACGTCTGCAGTTATTCGCACCTTATGTGCGTTTTTTTCATTCTGTGTTCGGCATAAGCACCCGTATACTTCAGACATGGCAAAAAGGAAAGAAATTCCAGAAGGACCATCATTCATATTTCCAGTCAATTTCGAGCTCTAGCCCTTCAGGTTATCTGGAACATGATCAGATGCAGGCTTACAGTGGCAAATAGCCACAATACACCCACGCTGCACATATCGAAATTTTGCATGACTACGTTCAGTAGGAAAAATGTTACGACTGAAAAGTACGGCTGAAGAAGTACTTGGCCGAAGACTTTTGAGCGCTACTGTATATATCGGTGCTGCCTTACCGTACTTCATTAAACGAGCTAGAAATATGCGATGATTATAAAGTAGTCATGAGGCTGCAGGCGGTTCTATTCGTAGTGTTCAACACGTTGTTTACGTTTATATTTTGTTTACACTTTTTGTATTTGTAGGCAAAGGTCGAATGTTGAAAGAGGACGAGTGTTATGTGCAATTCATGACGAATCCATATTTGAATATGGGCATGTACATCTCTTACTATTGGTCGACACTGTTCGTCATGCTTTACCTCTATTGGGGTATATATCGAGCAGCCAAACAGCTTGCTATGAAGAGCGATCAGGTACTGTACCAGATACAAACTTTTAAAATTCTCTGTATCAGACGGGATTAATTTCCTTCAGAGGAAGTTGAGGTGTCATAGTAAGAGACTGGTGTAATTTAGAGCCTTGGTTCGAAAAAGACAGCTACAGAGATTTAAAAAAGCCGATTTGGCTTGGCTTTTGGTCAACCAACTACTTCCAATACGTCCTGATGACAAATGGAATGGAGAGAAGGGGAAAAACATAAAAAGGAATTAGGACTAGTAAGGGGAAGTGTTTGATGGATACTCCGGTATCCTGAAAGGTCAAGGCTCAAAGCTCTTCCAGTTGGGAAGGGGTCCTCAGAGAATATCCCCATGTCGACTGTGATACCGTAGTCTAGCGACCGGTTCAAATAGGAACAGAGCAAACTTGGTCATCAGAAGCCTGGGACGTCGCCTTCATCAAAATGGTCATACAGACCCACCCAATTCCTTTTGTGATTGTAGGCGTATTGGAAGCAGTTATTTGGCAAAGAGCCAAGCTGGGTTGTATTTTTTTTTATGAAGGTAGGCTGCTTGAACATAGCCTCTAACCTCAGCAATCAGCATTGTTTCGTTTGCTTTTGACATTCCCATCGCCATCTGGTCAGGTGATCACTAATTTCCATTCAGTACCCGCTTCCTAGAGCCAGGGACATTCAATGTGTTCCGTTTGGTTGGTAAATAGAAGCCACCAGAAAATCACAACAACCATTATGGAAACTGATGTCAGGAGAGTATTGCATTTCAGAAAACAAAACGATTGGCGCTGCTGACCGAATTGCGGAAACCGGAAATGTCTGTGCGGACGAGTGACGCAAATAAGAGCAGTTCCGACTCACCGAATGACAATGATACCAGCAGCAGCAGCAAGTAAGTCCACACAAATCCATTGGGGATTATCAGAAGATTTCTGATTTGACTTGCGAATTCACTGTAAAGAGGAAAGTAGGCTGGCTGAGCTTTACGTTCGGAGCCAGAACCTTCATTGTTGCCATCTCTCTCACCTCGCTCTTTCTTTTTGTACTCAGAACCCCTTTTTTCAAAAGGAGGAGTTACCGTATCCTTCAAAATATATCCCAAGTGAATTATTCTTCTGAAGGCTTTTGTCTTTTCAATGAGTACATAGAAGAGTGATGAAACCGAAGCTCGTTCCAAAGTTCCATAAGTGAAACACGCAGTCGACACCAACCAGTTCAAGCAGTTGATACTACTTGTATTTCATATCCAATGTCTAAAGAGTTCGATTCAGCTATTCAGATGTCTTGGTTGATTGGTGCCCTCAAGGGACATGAATGGGATTCCATCGACATCGCTTCGGCATTCGTCTTCACATCTCAACGGTCGTATGTCAAGTAGAACACGGACCGCTTGAGAATTTTGTCGATGTGAATGTGCCGATTGCCCTTAAAAACTCTCCAACAAAGAACTTATGCGGGACCAATTCTAAAACCTGAAATGTTCGAAGACGTTCCAACGCGAAGGGTATCCATGTCAGCCATCGGTCTATGCCTAAAGGCAACGGCAAAAAATGAAGTCAGGCTCTTCAATAAACGAGCTCACAGAAACGTCGATGACACTGCGAAACCTCGCTTTTAGTCCTTACGGCATGGCTCATAAACCCCTAGGGGAAGTGAGCTGTTAACGAAGCTCATTCTGGCCATCCCACTCTAAGAGCTATGGGAGAATTTCGTCGAACATCCATGGCATGAGGTGGTTAGTTCGGCATTTCTTCCTTGTGGGAGTGCATTAACGTAGTACGCACGTTTTGCATACGTCATAGCTGATCACCGTGGAACAAATTCAATTGGGACAGGGGCAGTGAAGGCACAGCATCGTAACTATTACGGGGGGACAATCCGATTCGACGCCGCGGAAGAGCATCACGTCAGCTTTCATTAGTTCGGTATTGCCTCAAAGAGGTTGTTGCCTGGATTATAAGGGGTGACCGCAGCCATCGAAGGAAACAAGTAGCGTATGTTCAGGCAGTAATCTGCAGGACTAAAAGTAACCTAACAAGTCTGAAGATGATTGTGGGCTTCAATGAAAGCCTTCTTTCCACTTGTTCGAGTTCTTTTCGAAAGTGCGAGTACTCGAAATTACTAGAAATTTACTAGTAACATGACAAAGGATAAAGTCTTCTGGCATTATTCGAAGCCGTCTGAGGTATGCGCTCCGCATATGGCTTCCATTCATAATCGTACTGGCGTTTTGAATACGTACGTGGTTATACAATGACTTGCGGTGGCCAGCCAATGTACAAATCAGTGCTTTCATCCTCCCAGAGGAGTCTGGTATCGATTATCCAAAACCGGAGGGATGGAAGACTTAGTGGGCTCAGGCGTGTATCGATCTGGGGATCGAACCCATGAGAGATAGTTCGCCATTTGCCTCTACAACCCCTCCGTCTCTGCAGGAACTTCTAACGCAAACTTCTCCATTAGCATAGTCTTTTTGCTTCGGAGATGTCTTCAGCCATAAAGCTGAACATATGGCCTTATAAGGGAAGGGTTCCCCGATAAATGGACGAGTAAGGGCCCTCCTCACATATGAGCGCGCCTTTCGCTTTAGAGCCAAAAAAAGATGTCGCTAAGTGTGAATTCAGGAATCCGTCTCATCTAGATTGAGGGGAATTCTGCATGTGATCAATTCCGTTGGCGGTTGCAAAGTGCAGGGCTAAGCCGCAAAGAAGGAAAAATGGATAACAGCTAGCGATCATTTATCAAAAACCAGATCGGCGCTAAGGTTTCGCAGAAGGGCACATACATATCTCTCCTACCCTCCTTTATCATGCCAACAGGAAGGAGGTAATGGCTGAAACTTGTTGCTGGGGTACTGTCCTTCTCCCTATTCCATTATACTACCTAGCTACCTTGCAATACAAGGGACTCTGTATGGACTTTAAAGGAAGTTTCATGGCCAATCAAGCCCGACAATGGCAAAATATTTTCGTGCATCTACGCGAATCAAACAATTCCTCTACGGGACCTCTGAGGAAGTAGTAGCTTCAGCTTCCTCGTCAGATGATAAACAAAATTGAGGAAGTGATCGACATTGGTCATCCTCTTCAGAGCACCTAGGGAGCTTGGTGTCCGTGTCAGCCCGTGGGAATATGACTATGGGCTGAGTTGCCGTCATGTCGTGTTGAGTTGGTGTAAATGTCCTTCCTGGCGACTCATGAAACAGGACTAAATACATCCTTACACATTTCGGCCTGGTAATTTCACCTGGAGTGAGGTGGAACGTTCTCGAAGCAGGGAGGCTGCAGATCACCTTCTGAGCAAATAAAATAATAATGCTTTCAAGGGCCTTCTCTGACTGGGAAATTGACAGAGCATGTCCGCTTTTTCGTCACTGGATATAATCATGACTCCTGCCCTACTCTGACTTCTGCTAGTAATCGTATTTATTGGAATGTTGATTTGCGAGCAGGACATTGAATTTCATAAGCATTAATGAGGTGCTAACAGCTCGTCTGCAAGCTTCGAAACGGACATCCTTCCATATTCACACTCGATTCGAATTGAGGCTTCTTCAAGCCGCTGAAGTGGTACGTGATTTGCCGGTGCCTTCGCCTCGTATCTGAGACGTCAAGCACGCCGGCTGCGGCGGTCTCGGAAAATTCAATCAAATCCACACTCAGACTGACTAAAAGCTAAATGTGGCGCTAGCTTAATACCGTTATCCATAGTGACGACAGTCATGCTCAATATACATGATGACAGCTTATTCGGAACATGATTAGATCTGACTTCATACTTAGTGAAAGAGTGATGAAGAATGATTGGGCGGGAATAGATCAGTTCATTTATGAAAAGCTAGAGTGCATACCCCAGGAAAGGAGATAGTCCAGATAACAAAAAATTAGTTTGAAAAGTAAATTCTCTCAGTCTTTACTGCAATCAATTAAAACGAACGAGGTTCAGAAAAAAACGGCAGGGCTCCTACCTTCCATGACCTGGAAGACATCCAGTAGATAGGCATTAGCCCCCAAACAGATGTAAGTAGTAAGAGATCGGATCAGTAGGTCACAAAGTGGCTAGGAAATAAGATGCGATATAACACTTGCATAACTGTTTCTTCAATTCTGCCCACGCCTGACAAAAGCACAGTTTACATTTAAAATGGATTCCAGGTATCCTTTTGGACCTGTGTTCTCCAAACATGCCATATGTAGTGTTCTCAATCGGAAAAGCGGTTTAGCTAGTACATTATAGGGGTTCAAAGTTCGTATCCACTGTATGCTACACCCAGAAGTGGCCGGGTTTCAGAGACCTTGAACAGGTGGCACCATTAACCCATTGACGACCGCGTGGCCCGTATACGGGCCACGCCCTGTCGTGCTCCTGGGACCGCGTGGCCCGTATACGGGCCACAGTTTTATTTCCCATGTATAACATTCATTTTCGATTTTTGTGACCCTTTCAAGTATCGAGCAGGTTGATGACCTACTATGGAATCTTGACGCGCAGTGGTCCGTGAAACGTTCACTTCTGACTTTAGTAATAACAGGAAACAAAGTTACTTCTGAGGGCATTGGTAAAGGAGCAAAACCAAATGTGACCCAAATTCATGTAAAAAGGATGAAAAGGGACTTTGCTGAGGTATTCGATGATTCGAAGTATGTCATTCTCATCTTGTCTGCTTCCTCATGTCTAGACAGAGTCGCATTTGGAAGTGATTTGGTAGAAACTCTCACTCCCTTTGAACAGTCAACATTAGATGCCATAACGTAGCTCTAAATAGTGTACATGACTTATAAACTTTACATGCCACATTTTAAAAAACTTTTTTGTTGGCTGTAAATGCTTACGAAGAAATTTACTTGTTCCCAAGACCGTGTGGCCCGCCAGCGGGCCACATCAGCAGCCCGCGAAAAGCGCGCTCGGTCCCACACGCCAGACACGCTAAAAAGGCGCGGTCGCCAATGGGTTAACAATGGAGCACATATGTTGAAAATTGAACAAGTAGTCGTGACCTAAGGCGACTATCGTAGGCCATTTGAGGTTTTTGACTGACTGTAGCTCCTCTACGCAACACATCACAGCTGACAGCTCGTCCAAACATCCTTTGCTGCTTCTGCCGTATTGAACTCGTACAACCCCTTTTTTACTACATTTTCCGAGTACTCAGATTGGACCTTTCAAGGTGCAATCTGAGTACGCATGAGTGTCGATAATTTCGAATACTCTTCAGATAAAGAAACATATCAACACCAAACTTTTCCTTCAATTATATTTTCCTTCTTGCCCTCTCATACTCCCCTCTCCCATGTGTTCTTGAGATACCCAGAACAAGCGTAAGGGATCGAGTATAGTGTGAGGGGCATTACAACTATTGACAATATTTCATACAGTACTGGTTTCAGGTGCTACAAGGGGCCGCCCACGTCATCTGCTCCAGAATCAGCAGCACGACATCCATCAGTCACTCGGAATACGATGACAGTTCATAACAACTATGTGAACCACTGCCCGAATAACTGCTCACCCAAGTACGATGGGTTATTATTGCTGAGCACAAAAAAAAAACTTATAAATAATTGCGTTTGTCATCAAGTTATTCCCCATTTCAGCACAGCTCCGCCTGCACCTGTGCCTTCTCCAACGAAAGAACAGCCTTCGGATCCGTTAGCGTTGGAATCTCAGGCGTTCGACGTCGATGTCTCTGGGCCAGAACCAGTCGTATGCGAGCTTACGATCTTTGAAGAGCAACCTCCTGATGAGGAGCACGACGACATCGTCATATGCGTGGCACCGCCATCCCATTGCTCACCTGCTCAATCTGACAGAAGCGTTTCCGAACGTTCCCGATCAGACAGAAGCGTTTCTGACCGTTCCCGATCAGACCACAGCGCCTCTGATCACAGTTTGTCGAACAAAAGTGATTCATATCACAGTCAATTAGCCCATGCACCCTCAGATAGCATTCATTCAATCCATAGCCTGTCCAATGAGAGCCGTTCCGATATGTCCGACCGTATCCAGTTCAACCATCTGGATGAGGAGCCTTCCGATGAGGAAGGATTGTCGTCAGCATCTGAACCTGAACCGGTCGCTTATGAGGTTCTTATAGAATCCATGAAAGCGGAGGAACCCTTAAGCTCAGAAAATGAACAAGCCTATGCTGTTTCATCCGATCTTCTCCGTAAAGATCCATTCTATTACCAAAAGCCATCGTCAATCATTGAACGGGAGAGTACAGCGCCATGTGTTAGCCCAGAACTTTCGCAGACATCGAATCTGGAAGACGGAGAGCACTGCAGGTACGTGACACATCACTAATCTTAAGATTACGACCAGTACTTGCCGATCACGTTAGAAGTACGGATGTGACAAAAGCCTTTGGAATCCCGAACTGGTTAGAATTTACGATTCCTGAGAAGTCAGCATGAGACATTGTCGGATCAAAAACTAGCCCTAATAGGAAGCAATAGGCGCTCAAAAATTCGTCCTGACAACCATTCCACTCAGCGCTCCCAAGATTGGACGTGTTTACAGGTCTCGTTGAGGCTGATATCTTTCGAAAATGGAGCACGTTTGTTGTAAATGCTGTAAGATCATACTAGCTAATGCTGATAGCTAACATAATTGGTCTGCAGCGACCGAAATCTCGTCCAACACCCCTCTTATCTCCTGGACCTCGTCTTAGCCTTGATAATATTCAGTTGGTTTGAAAAAGGCTCGTTGTTTCGATGCTTGTAAGGATTCGCACGTTTCCTTTGCCATCGTTGTACTATTCTACATCAGTACCTTCGCCCTGCAACCCAATAAAGGTTCATAATATATAGCGAGCTGTCCCATTAAGATATGCCCTATTCAGCAATCCAGAATCCATATTGCCTCTATCAAGCATAAAATTGTATTATAAGGGGTGAAGTTCGTGCCGTGCACTATCAATTTGCCCCTACTCAAGCAGCGTGACAGGGGTTTTGATACAGTTCCAACAATGAGGGTGTAATTATAATGGTAAACAATAGTGATCTTCACTGGTCTCTCCTTTCCAGTTGACCATTTTCCCATAAGGTTTCTTCTTCAGAAATTCAAAACCATCTCAGGGCATTCCCCTTCAGAAATATTTTGAAAATTGTCCTAAGAGAGAGAAACCCTGGTGAATCCCTTCGACCTTGCCCTTTACTGAAACCACTAAGCACTTGTTGTCTCGATTTAAAACACATTGTGTCCTGCTACCGTGGCATTTCCTCTCAAAGGCACAGTTGACGTTGAAATAAGTCTTTGAGAACCCCCCTTGGGATGAACCTGTGTGTGGCTCATACGGATAGCCTAAAGGACGCTGTCGGTTTGAAAAACAGTCAAGATACGACGTATTAAGGGCACCAAAAACCGGCTTACCCAACGTATACACCCAAGGCGTACGAGTTGTTAAGCGTTGAAAAGGTTATAGAGGTTCACCGGAACTCACACTTTGCACGCTGGCACCTTACTGCGGCCAGTTGCATGCAATGGTGCGCGCATTTGAACAGCTCGTCCTAATACACGTTCCATGCATTTTTTCGTAACATTCTCGTCCAACCCTTAACTTTACTTCTATTTCAAAGCCTTGTGATTCCTTGGATGCGCCGATTTTCCCGCTTCCTTCAGCACTTTTGCACTGTTCTGGGCTATAATTTCCACTACCCATCCCAGACTAGATAACCCAACATTATCGTGAACTGTGCCTCTAAGGCGATTTTACAACGATTGTTTTCGTATTCAAAGGGTCATGACTTGGCAAGATCGGTCGTAGTCGAAAACATCCAGGTTTGCAATGGTAAAATTGCTCAACTGCCAATTTCAGGTTGGATCTGACATTTCCGTTCATTGATGCTGAGAGTATTTCATCATTGGTGGGAAACGACGATCTTAGACGACTGAGATCAGTGAGGAGACCTCCGGAGAGTCCTGATGTGCCCAAAGATTTTCATGCGAATACGCTGGAGAGAAAAACGGTGTCACCGAAGCCAGAGCCAAAAGAGGAGATTACAGTTGAAGACGACGACATTGTGGTAGAAGAGGAGACAGTGGTGGAGAAAGAAAGCTCGGCAGACCAGCTAGAAGATCACGACAGCAACGATGAAATCAACCCCAAACCGCAAACACCTCAAGAAGAAGAAAACAACCAGAGACCGGAAACACCAGAACAACAAGAAAACAATCACCAGTTGCAAACACCCGACCAACAGAAAAACAATCATAAACTGCAAATATCCGAACCAGAAGACAACCAGAAAAAGCCACATGAAGACCATCAACAAGATCATCGGCAGGAGCTTCAACTGCAGGAGCTGGTGAGTATTAGTAAACGCTATGCCATCTTAGTATAAGCTCGTGGGAGACGGGCACTAGGATCGGTTTTGTGTAATCGATTCGCCGCGCGCGGCAGCCGCGAGCCATTCGCCTCGTTATTACAGTTCTGGCGCTCTCAATGCAGCTAAATCAATATGCGATTACTATTTTTGGCATGATTTTAATGTTTGTTCTCTTGTTCCTGTATTACCTAATGCTGCTGCATTCTGCTATATTCCTTCGCGCGCGGCGTCTCTCTCATCGCGACGTGACAGTTACGATCCCTGCACCACACTGTACACTGCTGACTTGGGAGGTCTCGATTGATAGAGAAAGTTATAAACTCACGTTGTGATCTGATCAATATTTGACAAATTTTCAGGTGCAAAGCTCGTCCTCATGTCCTCCAACCACCGTTGTAGAAACATCTGAGGAAATGAAAGTGCCTCTGATAGCTGTTTCCCGAGTAGAAAGTGTCAAAACTGTTGAGGGTGCCGTCGGTCGCTTACTGACGGCCGTTCGTAGCCGTTCTTTACGACGAAAGAAACCGAAACAGAAATCAGTAAGTCAGCTCACTGCCATACATTCTTTGTTTATCAGTGGTGTAAATATTCTATCTATTGTGTCTCATGCATGTGTCTTCGGTGGTCCTGTTCTGTGCAGGACCCCATTTCTCTGTCGTACATCTATCTCGTCGTTTTCAGGGCGTTTTACAGGCACTAAATCCGTTTAAGCAACGAGAGGTACAGTAGATTCGAACCACCTTATCAAAATATTATCTTTTTAGTTTTGCGTTTGTTAAACAAAAGGCATCTTGGGACTGACACGATCTTGCGTGGCTTTGACTGGGCAGATTTTGGAGCAGAAATTCACGATATATCAGTATAAGGGTAAACATGAAGGGTGAAGGGCAAAGCCTTTGGTGTCAATCCATCACGTGTTTGGGATATGCCCCCGCATCAGAATCACATGGTCGGGTTCGGGTGCGTGAATGGCCTACCCGGGTGGCGGAACTTCTTCCCGAATTCCCACGTCTAGCAGCAATGGTTCCGCGGCGACTTCGTATCCTTCCGTTGGAAATTCGAACCTTTCCTTCATTTCGCGCGACCCGCCGTGGGGAGAAATTACCATACCCCAAAGGCCCACATGCGGGTCAATACTTCTAAGCTCCTCGGTATTCAAAGCGCACCTGCCTTCCTTTTAAGTCGGATCTTCCTTTTTTTGGTCAAAAACTGTGGAAATTTCTGTCGTACGCGAATTTCCACCCGTAGAGTTTCCATCCCCCAAATGGCCTATGAAAATCGTGTCAGTCGATGTCAATTAGTAGGTACAACCATATGTATTTATGGCTAGGTTCTGTGTTGTGTTTGGTCGCTTGAGGCGGTGCTTGTTTCATTTTCACTATCTGTGCTATAACGTTTCAGGGAATCTTACAAGCGTTGAATCCATTTAAGAAACGAGAGGTACTCGAGTGCGAGTGATTTGATGCTTTTACTTTGGTCATGGTGACAGTCGTGGATGTGAAATTTGGGCATGGGGTTCATAAAGCAATGTGGGAGGGGGNGGGGGGGAGGGCAGATGTAAAACACGAAATGTGGGGTCCGAAGAGGTCACCGAAGTATTCCTGGTGGAGAGCACCTTTCAGGGGATTCAGGATTCAGGGTTCAGGGGCGGGAAACAAATCGCCCAGAACCTTCGAAACATTTCTTTCAAAACGCTAGATTCCTTCTCATCACATAAAAGTCGCGATAAAACACCTCACCATCCATTAAGGAGCCTACCTTCAAAGGTACAGTGCATGGACCACCCACAAGCTTAACCTCAACTTGTGGTGAGCAAAGCATATAACCTCATCCGGCATCTACCAAATCAGCCTTACCATTAGAGCTGAGGCCTTTGCTCTGGCGTCAATTATGATGACGTCATCTCCACGACTGTCACTTAAAATAACGATGAAAACAACGCGTTTGGCTTTGGTTGTATAAAATGCTCAGGCTTGTGTGACATTGACTACATTCTATGCTCCATCAATACAAAAACTAATCGATAGAATGTTTTTAATGCTATGTAATACAACTCGGTTTCGAGAAAAGTGTGAAAATCTCGAGGACGCTTCCATCACGACGAAGAAATTGATAAATGAAATCTCAAAGGCACAAAAAATTATATCGGCTGTATGCCACGCCCAGCCTTGGGCGAGTTCTACCGGCGCTGTAGAGGCTGTATCATCACAAGGGACCACCATATTACGTTCAAATAATTAGTCGTGACCCATGAAGAGAAGTTTTGGCTTAACGTAATCAGCTTTTTTCACAATTGCAACAACTGAATCTCGTCCGAACATCCCTTCCATGCCATTTCCGTCGTGGCAATCTCGTACAGCCCCTATTTTCACTCCCTTTAATAAGGACAGGTTCTCGCTGGGTCGAGGATTTTCTCGCTTTCGTTGTCATCCACCAACACTGCCGCTTTTCAACCAATAAGAGCAACTCAGAATTTTTTGAACTGCGTCTTCAAGGTTGGTATTGGAAGGTTCTTAATATACACTGGGGAAGTAGATTCCTGACCAATCATGGAACACACTGCCTCATATGGCCCCAGAANTTATTTTATGCTTCAAATGTTATGAAAGTCCTCATATGCTGCGGACATTCAATAAACCCTTATCGCCTTCTATACCTTTCAAACAATTTTGTGGTTATCCCTCCAGTTACCAGTTCAGAGGACTACGCCGTGCTAGTATCTCCACCTCGACATCATGCTAGCAATTGGCAGGGCTCGTGCTCCTTTAATATCAAAAACCTCACACCACCTCCAGAATAGTCACAAGATTCGGTTCATGCAGTTGAATAGACGCTATCAATCGATACATCATCAGTTTTCACGGCCGAGTATTATCGATTAGTTCGCTATTGATGGAGCAGAGTGGAGTTTGGCAACAATTTAGGCTCCATAGTGATTTGCACTTTTAGCAGGTGTACAAATCTCGATCCGAGAATCGCGCTCGAAAAGCTCTACGTACAATCACGTTCATTCTGGGCGCCTTCATCGTGCTATGGACACCGTTCTACGTACTGGCAACTATCTATGGATTTTGTGAAAGTTGTAAAAGCTCACCAGCATTCAACATGCTCTACTCGATCAGTTACTACTTGTGCTATATGAATTCGCCATTGAATCCATTCTGCTATGCCATGGCTAATCAGCAATTCAAAAAGACGCTCACACGCATTTTCAAAGGCGACTTCAGGAGAATGTAGGTGAGTGATACGATCCCGTTGGCATAGCACCAACAGAAGAGTTCTACAGTTTTTTTTCAAACGGTTTAATCCTGGGATTTTGGAATGCGCCCATGCCCTCGACCTCCACTCAGTCAATGGCGTTTGAATGTTTATGTGGCCCGTCAGATACGGGGTTAGGTGATGTATAACCCAGATTTTGTCCTCCCAGACGAGTACAGACTAATCGACTACGGAGGAGTAGAAGTAGGAGGGTTGACTGACTCAAACGGATTTCAATCTGAGATTTGTTTCCCATATAACATGCGTGAATGTGGGCCGATTGCTTGGCCCTAGCTCCTCGCATACTAGTACTTGCTTACTAATAAACGATTATGGTTCATCCAAATTCAGAGTTCACGTGGAAGACCATTTTGGAGTTGAGCAGACCAAGTTTAGACAAAGCATAGTGCACTGTAAAACCATTTAGCGCCCCATACCTACAGGAGAGAAGATAAATTAATCAGAAAGGTACGGCAGATGAAACGCCATCTCACATTTGTAAAACCTGTGAAATGCTTCCGACAGAACCATGAGCTATAGGGGCACCAATTATTAGGAAATAACATTTTTGCAATAATAATGCAGTTCTCATCTTGGAACCTTTTCCAGAAAGTTCTGAACTGAACAATGAACATGCGTAACGCACTGGCATCGAACGGATCCATCGGATCACCGCCGATACGAAGCCTTCCGGAAAGCTTTCATTCAAAGCACTTCCACCTGATATCGAGCACGAGAGGCCGGATTACTGGAACATTGATCAAAATCAGCCTTATAATGACGAATTCTGAAGAAGTTCTGGTACAGTAACGAAGTTCTCCTTATTTTTGGCTGCAATGATTACACCTTTCCATGCAAAACTGTGATACTTTGGTGCTCTCATGTGTTTTTATTGTTTAATTCTGATTTTACGATATGTGGTTTGAATTACTTTGTTTTGTTGAGGAGATTGCGATTGCAGTTTATAGTAGGAGTCAGAAGTCATTGATTGCCTTGATTGTTCCAATCAGCTAGACTGCTTTCCTATGTTGCCATCCTCTTTATCACGCGCGGGGTACTTGATGAACGCTTACCGTAATCGATGCCCATAGTCTGGGGAAAATTACCGTACATGCACTGCGATTCGAAGAAAGTACTCAATAGCTACCGTATCCATTCCAAAATGCCATGATTGGTCGCAATAAATCACAGTTCCTCCTCAGTATTTTGTGCATGCTCCGCTTCACTTTTCTATTTTTTTTTCAAAAGTTTGGATACGGTAGCTAATGATTTGCCTCTCTAAGGTCGCTGTAGCTCACGAAATGCTAAATAGCCAACTTTCACCGAGTATACTCAACTTTCACGGTTGGGATCAAGGAGCTGGTCGCAAATAGGAAAGCAGCTTTATTAGTGAAAGCCTTCGTTGAAACACATCTTGAGGTAATATTTCTGCATTCGCAAACTCTTCCACATACAATCGTATCTCATTGCATGCTAAATCTTGCTACTAATCTCCGATCTTGCTAATACTATTAACAACTCGACACCTAATTTGTGCCGATTCCCGGATTTTGTATTTGGGCATTAGGAGCCGCTAGCAGCTCAAGTACACGAAGCGGGGATGGACAAAGCAAGTAACTAATCATGACCCATGACCCGCCATGGCTAGTGAAGCTATGAAAGGTTTCGGCACAAGGTGATTTCCGATACTTCCCCTGATCCAGGAAAACCCTAGGGAGACTGCCCAAGCCTGGCTTTTATAAAGGAAAAGACCACTCAGTATCTCATTTCCCACAAATTTTCAGAATTACCTCCCTAGAATATTCCATATTCACCCTTACAATTGCCCTGCAGATTCAAGGTGATCCCAAATCCAGTGGCATTCCTGGCATGAAAAGTTGATAAGCCTGGAAATTAAACCGTGAGGCTCATCATAGAGAGGCGAGTAGTATAGTTACATGATTGTGAATGTGGCCGTAGGTACCTCTTCTGCTGGCAGAGCTGAGTACCCCTATGTAGTAACGGTCTAGTCTCTCGTCCCTACATGAATGCACTTCTGCGGGGTAACATCGCGGCACCACTCCCACCGGAAACAGTGCGGCACAACCATTGTAAGGACCAGACCGGTAATATTCGAGGGGACGCAGAAATCCTAGTTCTCGAGAGTCCTTCTAATTGTTCTCAAGCCATTTCACCCTCTCTATGATCCCATCATTTCCCATCACAAATGTCCATCCCTGCTCATAAGCATCATGAGCAGTGTCACAAAATGTGCCGAATTTTTTTTCTTGACAAATGGCCATTCTGCAGCAAGACGGTGTAAAGACGCTTCTATAGAAATATAAATAAAAGTTTGAAAAACTTTTTCCTACATCTATCAAGTAAGAAGAGCAGCTTACTTTTAAACAACAGCAACCAAATGCACATTAGTAGCTCTGATTTTTATCAATACGGATTATTGTCGATGCACAACACATAACAATCGTTTAACAGAATGAGGTAACGAATAACCGAGTGTAGACACTGATCCCGTCCATCTACTTACGTACTGGTTTGCTGAAAAATATCAACAAATACATCAGAAAATATAGGCACTTTTTCACATCGAAAGCGAACTCAGAAAGAAAAAAACCTTATGACTAACCTTTCTTTCCGCCTGTCTTTCTTTTCATCTCTTCTTTCTTTTTCTCGTGTTGGTGAAAGTCCTCGGCGGTCATGTGATACAGGTCGGGATACTACAACAACTTCTTGCAACACAGGTCCCAATTAAACAAGCAAAGGAAGCTTACGCCTTGATTCGATCTGTTCACGATCCTTTCGTGCCACTTTTGAATGCCTGAATAGCGAGGAATCAACAGCACATTCATTCAAACAATTTGGAAATGTTAAGAATAAAATGGCCTGCGTTGACCATCGCATTTGTTTCAGAAGCACTGAATGTCGTGAAATCAGGCGAGTTCGTCCCAAATGGGATCTCGTTGGGCCCGAAGATCAAGCAATTACTTCATTTCTCTGGACTTGATTACTTGATAGCGAACACAAAGGGGAGTACATGGCGTAGCTACACGTTCGATGTTTTTGAGACCTGGGCATTTCACGCAATGTTCAACACTGCACTGCCTGCAGGTTTATTCTAATGGACCGCTTTATTTGATTGGCGTTTCAAACATATTTCAATCTGTCGGCACCCGAAATTCAGCGATGGTCTAGAGGGTTTGGGCACTTGATCGGGTGATCCATAAATATGGGACCATCAGACTGGTTTCACGTCTTTGAAGACAACGATTTGTTGGAAACGTCGGCCATAAAAACCAAACCAATCATAGCAATCCTGCTTGGTGTGTAAATCAAATGAGAATGTTCAAATTCTGCCCTGCCAGTGGTCACCTTTGCTGCTGTTCATCTCCTTCCACTCCTACATCTTACTGGGGCAAACTATCTCTGAGAACCACGACGGTTCTGAATGGAAACCCAGTGCGTGGCTAACTCCAAGAATGATAACCAATGCAGAACATTTTTTTTCATTTCGACTTGTGTGTTGCGTGAAGTATACAACAATGACCAGCTCTATCTTTGATAAAATTCATGGTAATTCACCCGTTCTGTTCTTCATCCCGAGCCGATCTCTTGTGAGCCTTTTGATCACGCTTTCGCTCATCCGCACGATCTTCTCTCATTGTTGGAGGTAACTGGAATTGCTAGATATTGCTAAAACGAATGCATCAACCTTTTTAAGAAGCCACAGAGCTTCTAACTGGAAAAATCAATTCCGTAATTCTAGCCCACAGCGTTACACAAAACAGCAATAAATGAAACAGAATATGAATGGAACACAACGGTACGTATGTACTCACCGCAGGCCCGATTTCTTCATCATCAAGACCCCGATCCTTCCGCCTGTCCAGATCTCTAGGCGGTTCCTCTTTCCTCGAAGGTGTTGGATCACGTTTTGTTCGTGTTTCTTTCTTCTCTTCCTCTCGTTTCTCTTTGGGTTCCTTAAACTCTTTCTTCTCCTCTTTTACCTCTTTAACGGGGGGATTGGCCGCAACATCCTTTCGTTCCTTTGGCCCGCCATTGGCAGGTAGTTTCTCGACAGACTGAGCACGAACCTACAACCGAAATGCTTGATAGATAACAGTGTTGTCTTTAATGAAAAACGGATAAAAAATCAGCAAAGTTTCGAATTGAAATCTGCGCACCTTTTTGTGAGGGGGACTGGGTGGCACTTCACCCTCTTCACGTTCAGCTGTTTCTTTTTTCATCTCCTTCACCACAATAGGTTCCTCCTTCTTTTCTTTTTCTTTCTTTTCCACTTTTGGTAGCTCCTTTCTTTCTGGTTCATTTCGCTCTAATACCTTCGGTTTTTCGACTTTGAGTTTCTTCTTTGCTTCAATCGTCGGAGTCTGAAACGATTTCACCTACAAATGGAAGGTGAAACGAAGTTTGATCAAAAATGGAAGGTAAAACAGAGCCTGGTCTAAGAAAGACTAGAATCAGTTGAATAATTGAAATGTATCAATGCCAGTACCCAACGTTGGCCTCTGGACAGTATGAGAAGGGGGGGGGGGGTGGTAGGTGTTGGAGGTAATTTCTCACTATTTGCCACAGGCTTGTTAACAATTGTTATTTCCTGCGCTTGAGAGCTACTCATAGGTACCACGAAGATATTCTCCATGATGGAATTTTATTTATTTAGACATGTTGAAACTTTGGCAACAATTTTCTGATTTAATTTGACTTTACGTGTAGTTAACTGCTGTTATTTGGCCACAGTACGCGTTCCGAAAGTCTCACAAGGTTGACGATTTTGCCCGAAAAGCACAAGTACGAGTTCGAGTCCCGTACGAGGCCGGATTTCTTCACACAAATCGCCAACCTTATGAGAATTTTGTAAATGAGACTATTTTTTCGGAACTAAAACTCGCTCTTTCCCGTTTATTTCCCTGAAAAAAAAAACATATGAGTCGCAGTAGCTTCGCGGGAAAAACTTTATTTCCCGCGCAACCACTGCGACCCTGATGTTTTTTCAACATGTGTACTTTACAGTAAACGTTTGATGAACAGTATCCTCCAAATCTGGCAACTTTGCAGAAAATCATGCTTTGAGGAAACTACATACGCTTGAAGCTACGCAAACTCCCGCTCTCCTTGTAAACAGTTACGTATCAGATGCGGAAAAGGCAATGTTTTAGACGTATACCAAACCCCAGATAATCAATTTTGGAGGTGAACCTACGAATTCAACTTCCATTCAGAACTGTAGAAACATTTGAATGCGAGATATCCTTACTTGTGGGATCGGGTAATGTAGAAGCCAGTGAAAGTTTTTATTTTTTTTTTTCGACGACACGATATTTTCCTGATACCTATTGACTGTCCGGGAGGGTGTAAGGATTGATTGACTTAAACGAGTATCGGTTCAAGAATTCATTCTGAACCATAAGGTGCAACGATGACTTTTTATACTTCCCTACCTCTGTCTAGTACGCTATGCAACCAGAAAATCCTTTTCTAATCTCAGATAATGTGAAAAAGAGAAAAAACTGAAATACCCACTGGAGCAACACGCTTCCGATCCAAAGTTGAATTCTGCTTCACAGGGTGTTTCATTAAAGGACGCTGAAAGGAAATAGGGGATTTTCGAAGAGCAAACGACAAACAGCATTCAAGAGTGATATCGATCAAGTTGTTTTTCCGACTTAATTTCGTCGGCTGGAATGAATCCAACTCTACAAGAGAGTCTTCCTATCTTTGTTCAGTTTTTAGTAAGATTCTGCTAACTGCTGAGCTTCGCAGGACTCACATGGAATTGCGAAGCTTCATAAATTGGAACATTGCGCATTTTTAATCGAACCAGATAGCTTGCAGCTTTTAAGGACAGCTCGTCACGTTTTCCTTTTTCAGTGTCTCGTACCTAAAACAAAAGGAAACTTCGGAAACGAAAATTGTAATTGAAACATCGAAAACGAAAATTGTAATTATTTCGCGACTCAGCGAAGAAATCCTACCTTTTCAGCCAGCTTCTCAACATTTTCTACTACATCCTTCAGTAGTGGGAAGCAAGGAGCAAGCTGTACAGCAAATGATCGAAGTTGGATTGGCATAAGTAATTCAAAAAACTATCAGAAAGGGTAGTAACCTTCGTCATCACTACAAGGCAGTTCCTAACTTGCACGTATTCGTTGTTTTCTACCGAAAGCACTGAGTTAAATGCCGTATACAGTCGCATCTGAATGGTCACAGTTACACATATGCCACTGTATAAAGGGAGTATTGATCTTGATCACCTGCCACTTGAAGCACAATCGTCGAAAGCTTTCGTAATTAACACTCTCGGTTGTTTTGTCTTGTCGGGTTTTCGAAACCAATCCCGGGAATCCTTCACACTCCTTAAAATAATATTTTAGAGAACCACTCGGAAATCCTTGACACACTGATCAAAATTAAGACTAGAACAAATTCTAACTACTTAGCGCTGAAGGTGACTTTTTCAAAAATCAAAACAGGATCAAAACTACCAACTCATCTACCTCTATCCCTTCTTTCTACACACTGTGGGGTTATAGAACAAGGTTCACTTTTTTTACCTTTTTAAATTGAAAAAAAAGCAAAAAGAGCAGTAGTAATGATGTTCGTTTAATTTAGGCGCCATCGCAGTCGTACCTTGAACTTAAAGACAGTATGGAAGTTTGTTCGGTGGCGACCAAGATAACAAGAAATATCCCATGGGATTTGGTCAACAGAATTCTCGCCTCAGGTCATTAACCCCAAAACAACTCACCGAAGACTTTGACAGACTTCTAAACTATACAGCCCTAGATTAAGTAGGTATGCATAACAAGATTTACGTATGCCAAAATAGATCATGCGAGAAAGCTCGTAGAAGTATTTGAAGACGCAAACCTTTTCGAAGATTGCACTGTCCGAGTGCCACCGCTGAGCATGAGAAAGAAGAATCTGGAGAAAAGTGCCAATGGCATTTGCTTCGTTTTCTGTCAGCGCACAAATAAGGGGCAATACATCGATAAAAAGCTGAAACGGTCAACCATCATGAATCATGAATTATCTTCATATTGAATGGGCAGGTGAAGAAGTAACCCCAAGGACTTACCTTATCAATAAACACTAACGATTGAAAGAGTGTAATACGTTGCTGATGTAAAATGATTATCAACTTCGCCGAATAGATCTATAAAACTGTAATCGTAAGAGTTCCACAAATAAGAGGTCCAAAAAGACCAACCGCATCTGATTCTGAGAATAATACCCGTGGTAGAACACAGGTCTGTATGAAGGAGCTAGTTTGCTGACCACCTGAACATGATAAAGGTCATAAAACTATGTATAAATGCGGTACTGATGTTTGTGCTTCTCAAGGGAAACAAGGTTACGAAGAAAGTTAACAATCGCATTTGTGGCAAAATCTAGCAATCCATTTACGCATAATCTAACTAAATCACTGCAGTAGAGGATAGCGAAGCTGAACGACGGAATCCACCACAAGTATACTCAATGCAGTGCATGCCTCAACTTGGGAAATTTTCTTTCAGGATTTCGACTACTTACAGCAAATCCTCCCAATATCTAGATCACCCTACCCCTAATTGTGACGTTTATGCAAATTTCCAACCACTTTTATGTCACTTTATCACCACTCCTCCCCGCTTGTTAAGGCATATAACAGGTCAATTTATCACTCGTCTTTATCTGCTTCCTTCTAGCTGATCCAAAATTGTAGTTGATTTCGCCTTTGCCCTTTTGGCAACTGCAAAAGGCATTCCGCAGGCAGCCGAAAATATTTCGTTAAATTGACTGCTACCTACTCTTCCTACTCCACTTTGACACCAGGTCATCGCAGAACATGGCATTGTTTTCTATTTGGTGACACATTTATATGAACCAGTCCACATTGAAAAGTTAAGAGATCATTGAAAAGTTTAGAGGTCACTCACTGCTCCACTCTAATCTTTTTTTGGCTTCTGAGTTATATAAAAGTCAAATTGGTATATCATTTCGCTGGTCTTTTTCAAATTTTCAAAAGCTGAAGGCTTCTAGGAATGAAATTACGAATTTTCGTTATGGGTACTGTCTGCACTTTACAACGCTCACCTAGGTTCTGCTTAGCTCGCCTGTGCTTCATCGCTGCCAATGTCCCACCCACTAATAGCGAACATAAGCTGAGATCTCAGGTTGTTTACGAAGAAGAAGTTACGAAATCCAGTCATCAGAAAAAGCAGGAATTTTTTATAGGTGGGCTATAGCTTTTGTTTCAAAAATTTCAGCGTCAAAGTTGAAAGCTGATTTTTGTCTACTTTCCACAAGGGTCCGCATACAAAATTAATGACATGTTTAGTTGAGAAAATAGCTAACTAAAAAGCCAAGCGTTAATAGGATTAAAAAACACATTAGAACATTACACTTAAAGAATCACAAGTGTCATTATTTTAACAACGCAAAAGAAAGCTTACGGCCTGCTTCGAATAAATCGTCTTTAACGCTATTGAACCAAGCTCGTATTCTCGCTACATGCTCCGCTTGTCGTTTTTCTTCTTCTCTTAGCTTATTCTCCAAACCACGCAACCTCTCGTCTTCTTTCATTCGCTTTGATTTGCTCTGAAACAATAGTTATCAGCAATCTGCAACGATAATCACATTTTACCAAATATGCTGAGGATATCTCATTTCGGGATCAATTCCGGAAGGGATCTACCCGGATCATACCTAGTCGACACCTCTCTCCTAATATGAATGGATTTAAAATATATAGATCATCCCGAGAACACTTTTCAAGTAGATCAACAAAAGTTTCGACGGACTGTTAACATCAAGGTTATGACTGCTCCTATGAAATTGATTTAACGAAGCCTCAAACAAATGCGCTCAATTGAATTTGGGGGAATCTTTTAGGAAAACCCTAATCACTCAAAACTCACCATGATTGGAGAATCTGCAGCTTCTTTCATTTGTCGCCTAATATTTTCTATTGCTCTTTCATAAGCAGCTGTAGGTACTTCGATATCATAGGAAGAGAGTATCCAAAACACAACAAATAATCTAAAATCGATGCTGTAAATACTATGCTAAAACATGGTAATTTAAGCAAGAAACAAAAAATTTCTCCCAATTAGAGCATGAAAAAGGCAAAAAAAAAAATCGAAAAAGAAGGTAGCCTCGCTTCTAAAATGCGCAGACTTACCTAATAGGTATATCTCTACATACATGCGGTGGAATGCAAGGTTCGAGCTCGTTTATCAACTTTGAGATCACTTCATCGAATGCGGATTTGAAGAAAATGAACTGCAAAACTATAGCTGCACAAATAGTAAGGAGATTGAAACTTGACATGCTATCCCAGACGAGCCTCATCAGCCCAATATTGAAAGCCTTTATGGGACAATCTTATAATCAATTATTCTGCGAGTTACAAAATTCATAAGAGGAGCTCTTAAAATCAAAAACATGCGAAGTCCCGTCTTTTCGTTCTTTATTGCCAGTTGAACTGTTCTTTATTGCCAGTTGATCTGAAGTTCTGCTTCGTTGATGTAAATGACCATGAGGCATTAACTACTGAACTCGGCTCATCAAGATCGACAATATGATGCCTCGAAAACATGAGAAAACTTCATTATGAAGTAGCGAGATTTCATGGCACACACTGAAGTTTAGCAGGATAAAAGCCTGAACAATAAAGTCTTTGGGCGTAGATAAATCCTCCTAAGGGATGCGTCCCGCATTCAGAACCGAAGTGGTGCGTTGAATGCGTATGTGGCCCCTACAGTGACTTGGGCCGGACAGCCGACGAACAAGTCAGCGCTTTCATCATTCCAAACAATACTGGTACCAAGTACTCTACCCCGGAGGGATGGAGAGCTTGGTTGGCCTAGGCGGATCCGTGATTTGAATCAGTGACCAAGCGTGTGTGGTCGTGCGCCACTTGCCACTTCACCACTTACACTCTTAGTAGGAGATTTCATCCAAATTCCCAATACGCGAAGGTGGCACTGAACACGTTACGCGATTCCAGAGTACAGTTTTGTCGGCTGGAAATTTTGTGTCGGTTTGATAAGATAGCGTCATCTGTTATGCAGCTGAAGATCAGGGCGCGATCCACTCTGGTGCAATGAACACCCTTTGTTTCCTTACCAAAGAGTTTCACAAGACATCGATTTCGTGGCCAGATTTAAAGAACAAGTGATAACCATCGATACATAGACTACATCTAGTTGGAATTTGGTTTCTATTATATGATTCATCAGCGATTACCGAAGTCTTTGAAGGCAACGTGAAATACACACGATCGGCGTGAGTGCGCTCCGTCAGACTTAACGATGTCGCAACACATCACTGTCGCAACATACACCGCTACGTTTACAAATACTGATCATCGGTTTCGAGCTTTTCACGGGAGTGATTTGATGTCTAGGGATTATATGAGTAGCACTCAATATCATTTGTTCTTGAGAAGTGAACCACCTACGTTAGTTTTGCTATTCAATTTGGTAAGGAAATAAAGGACAGTATCATAAGAGCTTGCCGGGCCCTGATGCCCAAGTTGACCCACTGGAAAAATGCTTGGCTGTAACTAAGCCAGAACTCCTACTGTGGTCCAGAACTTTTTCGCACACATCTTTGACGAGACTTGTGCTCGAATCGAGCTCGAGCACCTTTTGATCTACAGACAGTCGACG